AAAAAAAAAAAAAAAAAAAGGTCAGTGACACTGAAAATGTTTAAGGTAGTGAAACCCTAAAATGGTGAAATAGTATCATGGTGAATACTTGTCATTATACATTCATTCAAGCCCGCAGGCTGTACACCACCAAGAGTGAACCCTGAACTTCAGTGATTTGTCAGTGTAGGTTCATGGCTTGTAACAAATGTATCACCCCACAGCCCAGTACAGTGGCTCACCAGCACTTTGAGAGGCCAAGAAAGGAGGATCCCTTGAGGCCAGGGGCTAAAAACAAACACCTCTCTAGTACGGGATATTGGTAGTGGGGGGCTGTGCATGGAACTCTGCACTTTCTGCTCAGCTTTGCTGTGAACCTAAAACTACTCTACGTTTTTTTTTGAGATGAAGTTTTGCTCTTGTTGCCCAGGCTGGAGTGCAATGGTGTGATTTTGCTCACTGCAACCTCTGCCTCCCAGGTTCAAGCGATTCTCCTGCCTCAGCCTCCCAAGTAGCTGGGATTACAGCTGCGTGCCACCACACCCTGCTAATTTTATATTTTTAGTAGAGATGGGGTTTGGGGTTTCACTATGTTAGTCAGGTTGGTCTCGAACTCCTGACCTCAGGTGATTCACCCACCTCGGGCTCCCAAAGTGCTGGGATTACAGGCATGAGCTAGCATACCTAGCCTAGGTTTTTGTTTTTAAGGCCTAAGAAAGAATTATACTAATGCTGGAGACCACATAGTTGTCACCTGGATATTAAATGATCAAGCTTACTGGAAAAGGAAATTTTTTTTTTGGAATGGAGTCCCACTCTGTTGCCAGGCTGGAGTACAATGGCACAATCTCAGCTCACTGCAACCTCCAACTCTGGCTCAAGCGATTCTCCTGCCTCACCCTCAGCCTCCTGAGTAGCTGGGATTACAGGCACATGCCACCACGCCCAGCTACTTTTTCTATATTTAGTAGAGAAGGAGTTTCACCATACTGGGCAGGCTGGTCTCGAACTCCCGACCTCATGATCCACCCACCTTGGCCTCCCAAAGTGCTGGGATTATAGGCATGAGCCACAGCCTCCGGCCTTCTCTTTCTTAAAATAGGTGGCTCTGGCCATACATTTTAAATTGACATCTCTATTTTCTGAAACGCACAGGGACCCATGAGTTTTCTTTGCTAAGGCAGGAAAAAATCATGGGCACTTTCTTCTTGCACGGAATAAAAAACAAACCCGTGAGTCTGGATCAAAGGGTTTGAGATTTCACCCTCATTTGAATGAATGTGCTCATGCTCCCCTCCATTACAGATGAGGAAACTGAGGCTCAGGTAGGTTAACTCATATGTCTGGTCACACAGGTGGAGCAGGCTTTGACCCAGGATTTGGACTCAGCCTTCCTGACTGCAGTCTTTGCTGTTGACCACTGGGCTGTGCATGACATCACTTAACCACACACACACAAAAAAAACAAAAACAGGGCAGGCGTGGTGGCTCACACCTGGAATCCCAGCACTTCAGGAGGCCAAGGCAGGCAGATCATGAGGTCAGAAGTTTGAGACCAGCCTGGGCAACATAGTGAAACTCTGTCTCTACTAAAAATACAAAAAATTAGCCAGGCATGGTGGTAGCTACTCTCGAGGCTGAGGTGGGAGAATCGCTTGAACCTGGGGGGCAGAGGTTGCAGTGAGCCGAGATCGCACCATTGCACTCCAGCCTGGGCAAAAAAACAAACAGCCCAGGTGCGGTGGCTCACGCCTGTAATCCCAGCACTTTGGGAGACTGAGGTGGGCAGATCACGAGGTCAAGAGATTGAGACCATCCTGGCCAACATGGTGAAACCCCGTCTCTACTAAAAATACAAAAATTAGCTGGGTGTAGTGGCACGTGCCTGTAGTCCCAGCTACTCGGGAGGCTGAGGCAGGAGAATTGCTTGAACCCAGGAGGCGGAGGTTGCAGTGAGCTGAGATCGCGCCACTGCACTCCAGCCTGACGCCTGGCGACAGAGCAAGACTGTCTCAAAACAAACAAACAAAACCCCACAAAACTCCTAATATGCAGAAACAGAGAGATGGGGTGATTTGCCCAAGGTCACACAGCCAGTAAATGGCAGTCTAGGAGGATTTGAACCCTTTCTTCTGGCACTGTAACCCTGAGAACCTTCCACCCGTCCCGCCGCAGAGCCTCCTCCCCAGCCCACCTGGCTGACCCCACCCCGGGCTCACCTGCGCTCCTGCCCGAAGAGGCGCTCCACCTCCGCGCGGCCGGGGCTGCGGGTACGGGCTCCGATGCTGCTCTGCGCTTGGGGCCCTGGCTGTCTCTGCACCAGCCTCCTGGGTGGGGGCAAGTCGGCCAGCACGGTGTACTCCTCCCGCTCCAGGTTGTGCCTGGTCTCCCCAGGAGGTGCTGAGCCCCGGGAGCCCCCAGAGCTGCCTGGGGAAGGTGAGGGTGCCAGGAACGCTAGATCACCGGGCGGGTGGCGGGGTGGGGAGGAGGCTCGGGGTGCATCTCGGTGCCCGATGCACACTTGGGGGATCAGCACTGGGGAGCCATGCAGAGAGTCAGTGGAGGGGGCCAGGCTCTCCATGCTAGTTCCAGGGGGGTCCTGGAAGAAGAGGGATGGCTCAGGAGCCTGGCGTGGGGGGGACGAGAAGGACGGTGCATCCCGGTGCCCGATGCACACAGGGGTGGGGATGTGGGGGGGCTCGTGCAGAGAGTCCATGGAGGGGACAAGGCTCTCGGTGCTGGCCCTGGGGAGGTCCTGGAATAAGAGGGAAGGCTCTGGGGCCTGGCGTGGTGGGGAGGAGGCCCGGGGTGCATCTCGGTGCCCAATACACACAGGTTGGGGAAGCTGAAGGGGCTCGTGCTGGGGGGACTGACACTGATGCTCAGCATCTGACATGTCTGGGAGGAAGGGGAAGGGGTCAAACTGGGTGTGGCGAGGGGGTGAGGATGCTCGGGGTGCATCTCGGTGTCCAATGCACACGGCAGGTGGTATATAGGGAGGCTCATGGTGGGGCGATTCACTCTCAGGGACGCTGGGCTCTGGGAAGAAGGGGAAGGGGTCATGCTGCAGATAGCGAGGGGGTGAAGAGGCTCGGGGGGCATCCCGGTGCCCAATGCACACAGCACATGGAGGCTGGGAGGGCTCAGAAGAGGTCAGGGGAGCCCCACAGGTAGCGGGGTACAGAGGCGAGGAAGTCCGGGAGGTGCTCTGGTGGCCTGGGTTATGGGAGGAAGAGGTGGCCCATGAGGGCAAGTTGTACTGGGTGAGGCCAGAGAAGGACTGGGGTGGGTCATGCTGGGCTGGCCGACTGGGAGATGACGTCTGAGGCCTGTCACCTTGGGTTGGCCGGAGGGCAATGGACGCCCAGGGAACCTCACTTTGCTTGGAGCGAGATGGGGAAGAGGTTCGTGAACCATCACTCTGAGTTGGCCGGAGGGGAAAGGAGGCCCAGGGGATGTCTTTGTTAGTCCGATGGGGAGACGAATTCCTGGGAGTGTTCCGCTGAGTGGAGCGGTGAGGAGATGATGGTCTCAGATTCTCCTTCTGGGCGCCGTACTGAGCGGAGGTTCCGGCGTTGTCTCGTTGAAAGGAAAGGGCGTGTGTGTGGTCCCGTCGTGTACAAGTGGGTCTGAGGTTATCCCATTTGGTACAAGAAGTTTTAGGCTTGTCTTGTTGGGTAGATGATCTGGGGGTGTTCTGCTGAATACAAGTTCTGGGGTTGTCCCTTTGGGTGGCTCTGATGGGAGAGGAGGCTCTGGGATTGTCCCGCTGGGCACAGGGTGTTCTGGGATTGTCCCGCTGGGTGGTCCTGTTGGGAGAGGAGGCTCTGAGATTGTCCCGTTGGGTGGCTCTGATGGGAGAGGAGGCTCTGGGATCGTCCCGCTGGGCACAGG